TGAGGCTCGAACACAGGACCTTCTGGTTACACTTCAGCCACTGGGACCTGATTCAATGGCCAGTCCATGAATTCTAACTTCTACCAATTCGGGATTTAGCGCGGCCACTGACCAATGTCATCAGTGGGACATCCATCCTCACACTTGACTAGTTGGGCTTCACTGGTCACAATTTCTCAGTAGAACTCCAGGAAACTCCGTTCTGTGGCAAGTCATCAGCGAGCACCAGATTAATTTTCGATAGTTGATTCGTAAAAACTAGATTTGTTCTTACGAGTTGATCACGGATTGATATCAGTTAGAAAACAGTTGAAAACTTCTACTGTTTATTGAAATACGAAAATAGTGTGTTGCAGGCACTCAGGGATGAGTCAATCAAAGTCTCTTAGTTTGTTTTCAAGAACTGAGATACTGCCCGATGGTCCAGACTGAAGCAGGTGGTTGTTTAAAGAGGCTATCCGTCCCCGAGCCACTAGCTTGAAGGCTGATCTACAATGCAGTGCTTTGGAGCAGATTTAGTAGCTGAGTCCCATGGTTTCCAGTGACCAAATCAAGTTCATCTGCTGTTCTATCCGTTCGGATTCTGCTGCCCACGTACACCATCAGTTTTGAATCAAAATGTTCTAACTCTCCTAGGTAGACTAGTATGCCTACCAATCCTGTTGTAAGCGTTCATCCACGCTTTCACTTTCGTGGGGAACACGCCTACCATGCAAATGTAGACGCGTGGACTCATGGAAAAATTTATGGGTCAAATACTTAGCAATCCTTAGTTTGAAATAATTCACTAAATTATATTTTAGAATAGAAACCAGATATTTAAGGCTCAAAATGTCCTCTTGTGTAAGCAGACATAATCAGCAGACATATATATATATATATATCCGTTTCCACCTAGTGAATAGTTTGCCACAGTGATACATTTCAGTTCATAGACAATATTTGTAAACTATTCACTGAATCATAGCGATTGATTTAGTAGGGTGTCGTTTCACTTACCACATTATAAGTATAAAATTAAACGTTAAAGGTTGAAATAGTGTTTATCATCTTACCCCTCCCTACCCTTTAGATAAGGGTTGACTGTTACCATATATAACGAACGCTTAAGTAGTCCACATTTTATAAATGAATATAATGACAGAAAAAAATGTGGGTGTGTATGAAACACAAACAGAGGGTGTATGCGGAGAAAAACAAAAAAAAAACTGTCGACGCTATCATACCCCGATAATGATTAATGATCTATTGCGCATTAGGTCTGTAGATGATAAGACTGGAAGTTACTTTGTTGTCACTGGAATATATATATATATATGTATCACAGGTTCGGTTTTGTAGACACAGTTCACCTGAACTGTGCTATTAATCAAAGTCACCCTTTTTCGTATAATAGTTATCCAAATAATTCCATCCATTATGATGATACACAGTTGAGTGTTCTCTATATATGACACAAAACGTGTCAGTGATTTACTGACCCTTTTATTCTGTTTTAAATGATAATGTCCTTCCTACAAGTTTTACTCTGTGTGTTGCCTGTGTTTTTTGGTGAACGGCCAACATGAAAATAATTGTATGTAGCGCTAGTCAATTTTTGCACTTTATTGACTTGTAACCGACTATAGTGTTTATTTCTTTATTTTTTTTTTTTTTGCTTGTCAGATTAGTGGAATCCCGCCTTATTGTTGACTTGTTTTTTCACCCAGAAACGTCACGGGATTAGATTCATACTGTGGTAGATCCATCAGAAAATAAGTAGAAAATCGATTTCAGTAAGATCAACACTACAGCACACGTCTGCTGAATTGAATAATATTGAAATAAAGGATGTTTTAGTCTGAAGCGTGTCCACACCGGGGGACTACACGAAGACACTGGAACAAACTCATTTCCTGGCATGTAAGATATAGCTTGGTGATGAAAAGTGAAATTACCTTAGCCGAAGAACACATGAAAACTTTCATATCTGCACGTTTAAATCCACATGAGAGGAAACATTTTCTCGTAGAATCAGAAAAGTAATTGAAATAGGAAGACGTCAATCAAAATGCCACTACTATCACTACAAATAAGTATAGTTTAGACGAAATAACACATTGAATTAATATGGTAGGTGGTGACTGGCAGTGGAATCCAGGATAACGCGCATTTCGTCCTGTTTGGGACTCGTCATCTGCAGGTGCTTGCACTCCTCAGTGAGTGATGGCCTCCACACTGAGGCTCGAACCCAGTACCCGTAGTTTCAAACGCCAAGGCGCTATCAGCTAAACCGTTTAGGCCACAAGGGCCACCTCTTGCGCAACGGGTATCAGTAATTGTCTAATTCAATTTTGACTTTCCCATTGACTGAGTGGACTGAAGTGCCAAGCCTCCACTAGTCTACTTCAAGTAAAGTGATGAGACATCGTCGGAGCATCTATTCTTATTATTATTATTCTTGATTCATTTAAAACTATCCTTTATCAGTAGCATTATCTTAACCCACTTCAACACTATTATTATTATTGTTATTATAACTATTACTATTGACATCCCTCTGGTTGCAATTCTTGTTAAATTCTCTAATGTCTAATTGTTTATCTAAGTGATGTAATTGAAGCGTAATGCAATTTATCTTAATTTTGATCTCCCATACTCTCTCTCCCCTTATCTAATTGCACATGACCTGGAAAAACATTCGCACCTGTCTTTCTGCATGACTAATTCAACGTAGTTTATTTACTTATCAGTCCTATATCTCCCAATGTAATTTCAAAACTATATATATCCGTGTATGTAGAGTATTCAGCTGACGAGTTCTACCGAAATTTGATGAATTCATTAAATCCTGCTTTATTAACCTTTATTGCTTGTTTTAAATTCGTATCGGGAAATAAATGTTTCCAATCTGTAGAAGGAGCCGGCATGTCAACCTGACACCGCTAGCGAGGCGCTATGTCACTCACCAAAAAAATAAGATAACATTAATGAGCATAACAATTAATAAATATTAACACCATTGGTAATTAGATTAAGATAAATTCGAACGGATTTTAGACTTAGGTTTCACGGATCATTGAATTTAATCGCAGTCTAGAATTTTATCGATGAATCAGGTTTCGTATATGATTTGCCTTCATGTGGGAGCGCTCCTGTCATCGTATTTCCACTAACCGTGACTCGCGGATTGTGAAATTATTGCGCCACATGTAGAATTTGGTCATCAAACGGACACAGTATTATCAACGTTACTTTGTTGAGTGGTTACATCTTTTCAGATTTTAACTGAAACATTCAAAAGAGCATGCTGACTCTTTGATATTGTAAAGTACCAGTCCCTTTGGGTTTCTAATATATCCACATAATATCTATGGGAGTTATCAAGTAGAAACAGGTAGTACAGTTTTCAGAAAGTACTAAGAATGATGTATGATAAACTGTCTGTATAAACTGAGTGATGACTAGACTTTTATACGTTTACAATGACTGATCAAGTTGATAAAATCCACAAACGCTAACTCTAAGTAAACCTTTCAGTAAAGCGACTTCAAGTCATTTTCTTGCGGCGGGAAAAAAATGCAGATATTAAGCAACAATTCACTAATTATACATCTCTAAGGTGTTTATAGAAAGCGGTTTTATTAAAAAACTGTTGGATAGTGTGGCCTTGAATAAACGAAAGGTTGGGTGTGAGGTTAAGAACGTCACCCTATAAAAGTAGACTCCGCCAAAGCACAGGAAAAATTATTTTTTATATTGACCATTGCTCTAGGAACTTGATTTTTTGTGCTCCCTCGGGAAGATCTACCTGTGTGGCTAAATAAAGGTGTAGTAAAAACCATCAACAGTTCGACATTAGACCACCTAGTCTAAACCGGCCACAAAGCCAGCATTGAAGAATCCTTCTCTATTATTTAGCAGGTACCAAATAAATTCACAAAAGCATTCAGGTGGCGCATACTCCAAACAGCAGAGGCTAGGGCAAGTCCAGCCACTACTAATGCCCTGACCGGTCTTCAAAAGAGACTATAAATTTATGAATTTGTATTATTATCTTTCCTAATTCTTCCGATATTCAGTGTGTATTGTTATGTTGATGCTGTCGAACTGTAATCCATTGATATTATTATTATTATTGATTTGATGTTATTTCGACAACGTTAATGTTGTCAGTAACGCTAATTCTTTCACTGTTATGTCTATATGACTGTGGAACCTGATGTTTAAGAAGTTATCGAAAAGAATATTCTTTGTTCAGTAACCATTCTTTTGGAAACACTTATTCTCTGTTTTAATCGTGAAGACTACCCGATTCGGCGACAGATGATGACACAGTTGATTAATAATCCTCCTTTCAGTGGGAGCAAACATAGATGTAGGGGTATTCAAAGCTTGGATCCCCACTATGTTCCACTTGGGACACGAAAGAATAAAAAAGAAAAAATCGCATAAGATCTAAGTTTATCCTCTTTCGAATCGATTTTCATTGCTATCCTTTGGTATTCAGATTTTTCAGAAGGTAAGCAGTCACTTGTAAAAGATGAGATGATGAAGACTAAGTACCTTCTCCTGACTCTGTAGTATTTGGTCAGAGGTTACCATTGCACTCCAGTTTACAATGAACACTAGCCAAAAAGAAAGACAACAACTAAGAAGTAGAGTTTAAACTCCTGATCAATATATTTCATCACCTCAAATTTCTTTTTCTCTTTCTTTCTTTTCTTGTTCACGGTTGATTAACTTCATCAATTGTTTTGTCTTAAAATTCGACAGTACAATATCAATTATCAAGCAATGTTTAACAACATCTCATATTTCACAATAACAAGTGAAGAATTACCCAGCAAACAACACCCATCTGAACAAAGCCTGTATACACTGATGTTTTTTTTAAATTTACATCTTGATTGAACTAGTAAGAATTTCTTGTTGTTTTTTTTTAATCACATATTGATTTGAGAAGGGAACAAGAAGCAAAATAATTTATTTATCACTCATTTTTCGATTCTTTTATCTAGAATAAGCCTGAATTTCCACTCAACTCAGTGAAAGAAGAAAAAAAAGCTACAGACAGGGAGGAATGATGAAACGCAAGCTTATTGATCACTGCTGCCACTACCTCAAGTTGACTTTCGTGTACATAATTTGTGTTCATATGATAAAATGTGACAAAGTATCAAATTCAAATGTTGATCTGAACCGGAATTCAGACAAATCGGCGTCAAGTACAGTCAATGCTACGCAGCATAGTGGACAGAATGGTAATAAAGATGTTCCTGTACACGGTGTCGGTTTACAAGCAGCAGCCGCGGCAGTTTCAGCGGCTGGATTAGTCGGCGGTGGAGTTGGATCATCTGCAAATAAGTAAGCTAAATTTTTATTAACAATAATGATGCACCACTATGTTTTTGCTTTGGCTATAAAGTAATTTATACGTAAATTGATGCTTCAATACTATTATTATTTTATTCTTTTGCATTCCCAGGGGAACATGGGGTTTCAAGCTAAAGCTTTGGAGTTTTGGTAGCAGTGGTGTCCCGTTTTTGCGGGGTGGGGTTGCTAGTCTCAAGCATTGGCTCCCCTCCTTATTGATCTTATTACCGACTTAGCGAGGTATAGGAGTGCGCTGGTCGGGGATCGAAGCCCTAACCACCAGCATGGTTGGGGAGCCTTCTCCCTCGGGATCGCTGACTATGCTTCAGTAGACAGACAACTTGTGATAATTGAAAAGGTGTCTTAAACGCCAGTTTTGAAAGATAGTCAACTTTATTAATTATGCATTCTTGACTTCTATAAACTCAGCGATATCAACTCCTGTTATTAAATATTAAAATGTTTGTGTTTCACCTCCAGTGCGTTTCTAGAAACTTATTGGGAACTAACTAGAAGTATACTCGAAAATGGAAGAGAATCAGGGCGCTAATAAAATTTAAACGATTCTTATGACAGTAACCATTGAATACCAGTAGTTAAGCTAAGACACAATTGCTCATTAAAATGGGTTAAAGAAAGTTGTCCCGCATACTTGCTTAACCTAGGCAAGCAAGGCAGACCTTCAGTACACTGAAATCATTGAGGAGATCTGTAACAGCCATCACCAGGAACATGATGCGAGTTTTCAGTAAGTGCTTCCGAATGTTTAAGAGACTCGGCACATATGCATCATGCAAAGCGTTTCCAGAAGCTTACTGCAGACTTCCACAAATATCTGACTTTACTGTTTCGATAGTGAAGGTCAGATGGCTTGCCAGAAAGGGTAAGCAGCAAGGAAATCTAGCGGTGCAACAAACCAATCAAGAACCTTCGACTCAACAAATACGTTGAAGGAAATGAATTGAGGTAGATTGGACACACAGTGAGAAGACTGCTGCTGAGTGCCACCACTCAACAGGCCATAGCTCGAGTGCAACTCAAATGCACCCAATAGTTTCATGGAAGACAATATGTGAGGAGGTAATAAAGGATTGCGGGCAGTCGTGGAGTTAGCTTAAATTTTAAAAAAATACTGCAGAGAAATCAGTAAAGTGGAGATTCGCTGCTGAAGGGATGTGTTTCACTCAGAACCCTAAGAACGAATGATATTAATTAGTATGTAATTGTGTTACCATGACTTGTTTCTTTCTTTCTGGTAATTCTGAAAAAATTCATTCAATACAACTAGTTAACTTTAATGCTTTAAGCAAAATGCACACAATTAGACAAACCAGTAGAGTAGGCTGATATAGGATAAGAAGTGACTAGTGTTAGATCCTGCTTTTTTTTAGCGAAAAATCTACTATGTCAGTGTTTCAGTCGAAGAATTCTCGTTAACCACTCATATGGTCTGGAGTTCGATCCCCGGCTAATTTACTCCTAAATCACGCTTAAGCGGTGGTAAGCCAACGCGACTAGCAACCTCATTGAGGAAAAAAAGACACCTGTAACCGAAACTTTAAAGCTTGAAGCTTTATGTTCCCCTCGGAAGGCGAAGAAACTATGTATATCACATAGGGAACCATTGAAAAAACATGTACTGGGGTAATGGACAGCTGTTTCGTCCTAGTTTGGGACTCATCGGTCAAACTCAGAACCTTCAGTCTAGAAGTCAAGCTCGTAGACCATTCAATCCCAAACTAGAACGAAACATCTGTCCAGTACTCCCCAGTATTCAGTGGTTCACCAGATGATATCAATCCGCCATCAGACTAGAGACAAATGAACACCCTGCAGACTAGCTCTTGGAGATTACATACATATAATAAAAGCTCTTGCCTATGAGTCACCAAACACCAACGTCCTTACGTCTACTAACCGAATATGGCTTTATTATTTCCCCCCCCCTCAGTAGAGTAATGATACCAACTGTGTTTATGTTATCATGTTATGTTTTCTACAGATAAATTCTTTGCTAAGAAAAAAATATTAAAAAAAAAAACAAATTACTCCATGAGTTTAATTTTGATTTAATTACCATAAGCACTGGAAGACCAATTTTCACGGGTGATCTCGAAGAATGATATGAGTGAATAATGTGAATGGAGAGAGAGAGAGGAGAGGGTGACAGACAGTAATATGGTTAAATAAACTTCAGCATAAACTTCAAGTACCTGAATTCAATTTAATCCCGTTTAACCCATTCACATCATCATCATAATCATCATCACGGTATTTCATTTAACTTATTCAATTATGTGTGAGTGAGTGTATGTGTGTGTGAATAGGCATTTTCTTGTCATTATACGAGTTCTTGGTGTACATAGATAGAGAAGTATAGTACAATACTTGTGTTAAGGAATACACTTGCACAACACTTGCGGAATTCACACACACACACTTGAGTATAAACGATGGATAAATGTTTTGATAAGTGAATCCGATTAGAACAGGTTAATGTGATGAGAAGTACTTGAAAACTATGTGGCATTGGACATTGAGTAGGGAATGTTGTTTATTTGTGTCCAATGACTAATCTTGTGGTGTAAGCGGCGGGAAACAAGACTTTTTCTTATTTTTGAAGAGGGAGGCGACACAGACGACACAGAATGCTGCTGCAATTGAACCTTGTTCTCAGATGGAGAGAAAAGTGAACCGAAAAAAATGCTAAAAGAAAAATATTATTATTATTACTATTATTAGTAGTAGTAACAGTAAAGTGCGTGTGAGAAAATTCCGAGACGAATGAGTCACTAAGACTTGATTGTAGATACACGCGCGAGCATGCACACACACACACACAAACACACATGCAGAAGGCATTTATAATGCATCCTTTATGAAAGCAGACCATTATCTGAAAACCGGTCACAGTATATTCGACATGTTTTATTGGTTTATTTCGCTGACTCAATTTAATACTTCACTATATACACTACTTAGTAGTCAATTTACTCCGTTACTAGCTAGGAAAGGTAACTTTAGAGTGGGTGAATACGTGTATATGTGCATACGTCTACTCGCATAAAGGGAAAGACAACTATCTGAGTCAGCATTCACTACTCTAATTCACTTATGATGTTGAGAGTTTATACTGCCCAAGGGAAAATTCCCTTTTTTCCCTCTCTCTTTTCTTTCATTTTACTGATAATGCAAGAAACAGGCAAATAGTCGAATGGATAGACAAACTGATGAATAAAATCAAAAAAGAAAAAAAATAAGAAGAAATTTAATAGATATCCGTCTGAAAAATCTCTATTCATTTATAAATCTATCTATATATCTATATAGCAATATCGAAAAACGGTTGCAGACAGGGTTGTTTTTATTTTTCATTTTTTTGTAGTGGGAAAACAATTCTTATCTCATGTTCATTTAGCTAATTACACGTGAGGTGACTTCGTCTATCTTTGTGTTAAGTGAATCTGCTTAGACAATTCTCTCACATTGAAATTTTTAATGATTATAATCCAATTAGAGTAGATAAACCCTTTGGAATACTGAAACTGAATTTGTAAACAATTCACATAAAATGATTGTAGGGATTTCACGGGTTTGAAGTTCGATCACAGATTGATGACTGGTTCTCTCTACAAACTAACACTTGTAAGTTACAGGATTTCATCATGAACTGACGTCGGTTAGAGGACCATTGGAAAACCACCAGGGAGTACTGGACAGCCAGCTGTTTCATCAGCCTAGTTTGAGACTCTCCAAGGTTTGAACCCGCGACCTTCTGGTTGCAAGGTGTGCTCGTACACCCTAATAACTACCTACTTGAATGGGGCTAGTCACTAGTGAGCACGTTATTCCCTTTCTCACCAGTATCTAACTACCAGACAAAGTTCTTTTGTGAAGTCATGACCATTTGTGTTCACCATGTTTGGTGCGAGGAACGCATACTCACCAGTGACAGTGGCTGATGATGGCGCTAAAAATTGTGAATTGGTAAAAGTTAGAATTCATAGGCCGGCCATCGAACTTCATTCTATTGACTGAATGGTCAGTGAGCTTCTCTACTAACCCTAAGGTCGTGCTTCCTATGCCGGGTGGAGTCACTGGTGCGCACTGCTGAAGATTCCCAAACAAACACGTAACAACCGTCTAGTACTCTCTGGTTTTTAGTGATACTCTAATTTGCCCAATTCGTGATTAAACTTAAAACAAAAACTTCATTTTAGATAAACGATGAGTGACATTATCCTAAAGCCTTTAACGAATGCACCGTAACTTAAAATAATATATCGAACGAAAAAAAAACTAATACGCATTACACAAAAAATAACTTTCTTCATCAAGTGGCCTAGCAGACAACTGTTTAGCATCTGAAACGCTAGGTGATGGGTTCCAGCCCAAGCGGGAAAACCATCATTCACCGAGGATACAGGTACATCTAGTTGCTGTGCATTATATCAGAAAAAACACGTATTCTGAAATCTTTTTGGTGGTCACGGTCAACTGAATAACACTAACTTAATAACTGAAGACGGGTACAAAGGTTAGAACTAGCGTCTTCTGCCGACTGAAAGATCTCTGACAATACAAACAAGTGCCACTTATCAGTTGTGAAATGCATTCAGTTTTACCATCTTTTAGTTCTTGCCTGAGAGGATTTACCTATCGAATCTTCATAATTACTAAAGTATTTTTAATAGATCAAAAAAAAGAAATATCAGCCATCTAGAGTTATGAAATTCGTTTCAAAAAATACAAGAAGTCACATACTACTGATTGGTTGAAATGAGTAGCTGAGTACCCCTCAAATTAAACAGTAGTACTTGATAGCACAGCGGTAGAGTGATCGCCAACCATGCACATGGTCCGGGGTTCAATCCATGGCCGACGCTCCCCACCACTTTACCTCGCTAAGCCAGTGATAAAAAGCCGGTAAAGAGGATAGGTTGGGCATGAGGAAAGCAACCCCGTCCTGTAAAAATAAACATTGCTACAGA